ACCCGGGTCCTTGAATGGAGAAGATGGAGAATGGGACCCCTCCACAAGATAATCCAGTTCTTTGATCACTATGAGGCAGAAGAGGAAGCCATCCTGAATTGGGTTGGGACTGATGATGTCTCAAAGTGCTTTGCCCTCAACTTTCTTCACTCTGTCCTTGAGAAGAAGAAGGCCAGCTACAAGGGTAAGGCTATTCTCATTTCTTCACCCTCGGAGGAAGCTGTCAAACCTCTGGAAGATGGGGAAATTGAAGCCTTTGAAGAATGGCTGTTCACCAAAATGGCATCTGACTCTGTACAGCCCAACTTCAACCCAGGAGAGTCCTCTGTACTCAAGACAGAAGGACAAGCAATGATGGAGCAAATCAAGGAATGGAGGACTTCCTTGCTCGTGGACAACATCATTGAGGTAAACTCTCCAACCCCTTCTGTTTCTATCCCAACAGAACCAAATATTCCCTCACCTTCCACCAGCACTGAAACCCCTCCACCAAAACACCCTCAACATAAATCTCCTGAACAGAACACCCCCACCCCTCCTTCATCACCCAAACTGAAAATTGCATCTCCTTGCAGAGCAATTGTTCCCTACAGAAACCGTTCACCTTCACCTCCCCCATCTCCCCAGCACCAGAATGCCTCAACTATTCACTCCTCACCCCAGCACCAGAACACCTCACCCCAACAGATCTCCTCCTCCTCATCCTCATCAGAATCTGATCATCAATCTCCTCCTCCAGAATCCTCACCTACACAACAACCTGCAGGAAACCTCAAACCTGTATGGTTTCTAAGAGACTCAGATCCTACAACTGTCTCCCCCATCTCTGCACCCAAAGGGTATTCTAGGGACTCTGTTGCTCCCAATCCCTCTCTGAGAAAGAAGAAGAAGGTGGTTCGTAACAGAAAACCTATCTACTCTCCATATGAGATATCCTCTTACATGGATGGATTCATGATCAGCAAATCATACAAGGCCACATCCAAGAGACAGAAGACCCCTCCTCTGACTCAACTGGAACATGAACAGCTTGTTCACTCTCTGTCATCTGTCCAAGAACATCACCCACTACCTAGGGGAAGAGGTCTAGAGATGCCTCAAGCAGATGGACAAAAGAATGACATTCCCTTCAACAAGTTTGTTGAATCTGCAGAAGAATTTGGAGGACAGATCCTCCAAGGCTTGGACAAGCTGATAGAGATAAATGATAAGCACTATGAGCATCTTGCTCATGTGAATGACAATCTGAATTCAGGGATGCAGTTCATCTCTGACCGCTTTGAGAACCTTACTGGGACACTCAACAACTTCATCGCCTCCTCAACTGCCAGAACAGATGTCCTGTCAACAGAAGTGGTAGGCATCCACAACACTTTATCAATCTTTCAGCAGACTCTCCTGAGTCAAGGACAGGCAATCCACCATATCTCAGAGCATCTTGAGGCTCTGAAGAAATCTGATGCCAGAACAGAGAGGCACCTGACCTCTATTGAGCAAATGTGCAGAACTCATCAAGAACAGGCCCAAGCCCTCCTATCTACTGACAGAGACCGGTATCAGAAGATGGTGCTCCTTGAAGCCAACAACAAGGATATCTTCTCTGCCATCCAGAAGCAGCAAGGTCTGATTGAAGGCCTTACATCTGTCACTCAGACATTACCAGAGGCCCTGGAGCAGATAACCTCAACCCAAGCATCAGAATTCCAGAAGATCAGTCTTATGATAGAAGACTTGAATGATGCCAAAAAGGGGGAAGAGGACCCTCAACAGACCAGGCCTAGGTCTCACAGAACTCCTACCAGAGCACCCTCCTCTGGTGAGCCTGCAGTAGATCCGGCTCCCTACTTTGAGGCTGCCTTACAAAAGAAAAGGGCAGCAGGCATACCAAGACCCCCATCTCCAGTCAAGAAGAGCACCAAGAAGAAGAAAGTTTTCAACTTTACTGAATGGAGATTGGGTGGCTCTCAGAATATTGACAGAGCCCAATTTGAGGAAATGAAAGCCAAAATGACTCCTACCCAACAACAGCACCTTTATCTAGACAAAGATGGTGTTGTCAGAGTTAGGTATGGAGGATCTCTTGAAGAAGCAGAAGAATGGTACAAGAAGAACATTGTCCCAGGAAAGACCATACATGAAGGTGTCCTCAACTACTTGGACTGCAAACTCTCTCCAATATGGGCATCTTATCAAAGGTCGGGCAATCTGTTCAGAATCAGAGCTGAAATAAATGAAGAACTGCTCAGGCTTCAAAGCCTAGAGGAAGAAGCTCTACAGGCAGCTAATCTGGAGAATGTGTAAGGTTTAAACTCTGTAAAACCTATCTAATAAAATCACATCTCTGCCTTCTTACTTTGAAGTGCTTTTCCTCAAATTCCTGTCTTTTTTGCCTTCTGTTTGTGTTTATTTATTTCTGTTATATTCTGCTATCTGAATGTATCTTACTCTTACTATTTTCCTATGCCAAGTTGCCCACCAAGATTTTAATGGAAGTCTTTAAACTTAATATTTTTATGGTGAAGGCACTTCTCTGGAAATAGTTAAAGGGTTTTGGCATCATCAAAAAGGGGGAAATTGTAAGGAATAATTGTATTTAGATTTTGATGATGCTATATTAATTAGGACTATAGATTACCCCTTTAGAAATTATGTATTAGAATTTTCCTTTGTAAAATTCTTAGATGTATTCGACTTGACAGAAGTGCTTCAAGAGCAGAAGTGCTTCAAGAACAGAAGGGCTCCCAGAGCAGAAGTGCCTCTTAAGGCTTTATTGAAACAGAGGACCTTTGGCTCTCTGCTCCAGAACAGAAGTCCTCATGACCTCTGTTAGTATTGACTCTGACAGAAACCCTTCTGGGTCTCTGTTGGATACTCCCAACAGAAGTGCTCCAGACCTCCTCTGTTCTACTCTCAGACAAAGACACCAGAAGGCCTGACACTTAGAAGTTTTTCAAAGAACCGGGAAGTCAACTTAAAGATTCCTTCAACGGCTAGGAGTATGAAACGGAAAAGCTACAGTGCATGCATTAAATGCTCATTTAATGCACCCCATGCTACGTAGAGTAATTGCAGATGATTGGCCGGAATGTCAGGAATACTTTATCCCAAAATAGTAACCCGCCAACCTTACCGGGCTCTACTAGTCAAGTCAACTGATCGCTCATTTAATGCAGTTGTCCTCCTACTCCTCCAACGGGAAGACAACCTCAGTATAAAAGATACACTACGAAGAACAACCGGATAACTTTGCCATAACCTTGCTATCACATTGCTAACCAAGCAAGATATTCAAACTCTGAAAAGCAAAAGCCTCCTTGAGATTCAAACTTAGTATCCTCTACAAGAGAAGGCAGAAGTTGGAAAAATACTCTTTCCAACTCAAGCAAAGTTCCAAGTGTTCTTCAACTCTTCAAGCTCTTCACATACACATATCTTGTAACGAAGCTAGTTGGAGGAACCTCAATTTCAACAGAAACTCTTCTTGCTACAAGGAGGACGTCCTAATAACTGGAGTAGTGAAGTGGTGATACTTCAAGGAGACTCAGTGAAAGGACCACTGTTAAAGGAAGCCAGGCAGTGCATCCCAGGACACATCTAGACTTGAAGAAGACGTGGAGTGCTTCTTGAGTGCTAGGACTAAGGCTTTGTAAACGGCAGTTTTTACAGCTTAGTGGAACAGTGGATTAGAGGAACGAGTTGTTCCTTGAACCACTATAAAAATCCCTGATGTCGTTTACTTACTGCTTTTAATACTTGCACTTAGATAGAACTGTATAACTCCTTGGACTTGGTATCTATGTTCATTAGAACTGGTTCTACGAGTTAACAGAAGGCCTTCTGCCTTTGCTTCTCTGAGGCTAACAGAACTCCCTGCCAGAACCCCATCCGCTGCCAGTCTGTTCTTTCAACAGAACAGGCTATTCTGAAAATCTGGTACTTAGTTTAAAAAGCTAAAAACCAATACAGTCTATTCACCCCCCCTCTAGACTGTATCCAGTATAACCGGGACCAACAGGAAGCGAACCTGCAAAGACAAAAAAAAAGAGAAGTAACAAAGCCTCAAACCCCAGTAAAATTCGCCGACCAACATGGAGCCCAAACCCGCCGACCATATTTACTGGACCCCGAGAACGACGCCCAGCCAGCTTGTTTTCGCATGGGGATGCCGGGCGACACCCTATTGCCCGAGAATCCATCGGATCCCAATTGGCCGCCCATGGCACCAACCTTCTGGTATCTCGCCTAGGGTCGATACAGCCAGCCACCAACACCCGTCCATCTGGTCCGAGAGGGATCTGACTCCAGCAGCGCACCATAGCTCGTTCGCCCTGCCACCACCAACGTCAGCCTGCTGCTCGCTCGGGACAAAGGATTTGCCCACCTGAGAATCATCACACGCCGTCCCAACCTGGAAGCACTGCCGCTAACCGATGGGGCTGCCGACTTGGGAAGACGGGATGTTGCCATGGCCCGGTGGGTTGCCGACAGAAGCAGAGGGGTCATCGGACGTGCCTGGCCTTGAAATTCCGACGGCCCTTGGTCGCCGGCCCCCTCCCTCGCCAAGCTCGCCGGCCGGTCGCGTGTGGATGTCGAGCCTGAGGTACCAACTACTCAATTCGTCCGCCGGTATGGAAGAAGAGGTGTCGGCCTGCTGGATTTCCATCTGCGGCGCTGGGCTACGCGAGGAAGACGCACGCACGCGGTTCCAGGAGAGAGAGGAAAAAGAAAAGAAAGGAAAGAAAAAGAAAAGGAAAGAAAAGAAAAGAAAGGAAAAAAAGAAAAGAAAGGAAAAGAAAAAAAAAGGAAAGAAAAGAAAAGGAAAGAATTTATTTGGAGCCTTTTTTGGGAGCCTGAATTAATTTGGGAATTTCCATAAATTCTGGGATTCCCATAATCCACAATTATGGCTCCCTAATATGTGAATATTTTTAAATCGGCAGCTGACTTAAACTACTCCCTCTTAGCTGAGTCTACTACTCAACTAAGGGAGTGGGGGACTCGTGATGGGGTTATGGGACTAGGCCCAGAGCCTAATCGGCCCAGGCCCCGAACTTGGACCAGCGGGCCCAAGCCCAGCAACCCAGAGCTCGAGTCAGCCCAACCAACCAGGGCAATCAAGGAGCGGAAGCCCAACTGCGAGCCTGCGGTCCAGCCTACCCGGGAGCCTGCCTTCCAGCCCAGTGGGGAGCCCGCCTTCCAGCCTAGCCAGGAGCCTGCCGACCACCAGCCCAGCTGGGAGCCTGCGGTCCAGCCCAACTGGGAGCCTGCGGTCCAGCCTACCCGGGAGCCCGCCTTCCAGCCTAGCCAGGAGCCTGCCGACCACCAGCCCAGCTGGGAGCCTGCGGTCCAGCCCAACTGGGAGCCTGCGGTCCAGCCTACCCGGGAGCCTGCCTTCCAGCCCAGTGGGGAGCCCGCCTTCCAGCCTAGCCAGGAGCCTGCCGACCACCAGCCCAGCTGGGAGCCTGCGGTCCAGCCCAACTGGGAGCCTGCGGTCTAGCCTACCCGGGAACCTGCCTTCCAGCCCAGTGGGGAGCCTACCTTCCAGCCTAGCCAGGAGCCTGCCGACCACCAGCCCAGCTGGGAGCCTGCGGTCCAGCCCAACTGGATGCCTGCGGTCCAGCCTACCCGGGAGCCTGCCTTCCAGCCTACCCGGGAGCCTGCCTCCAGCCCGGTCAGAAGCCTTCCTCCAGCCTAGCGGGAAGCCCACCATCCAGTCCAGCAGGAGGGAGCTCAAGCGTCCAGCCTGCCAGCCAGGCTGACCTGCCAGCCAAGAAGAGTAACGGCCAACAATTAATGCGCGACTTAATTATGTGTTTAATTCTGTATTAATGTTGTAATTAATTTAGTCATTATTATGTTCGGCAGTTACCATTTGTAATCGCCTATAAAAGGCAATTCGACGCTTGAGCTCCCTCCTGGCTGGTAGGTCATTGTATGCTTCAATGTCTGCCTCCCAGCCGACCACCAGCCCAGCTGGGACATACAATTGCTGAAGTTTTTCTTGACGTCCTCATACGCATTGAGTGTAAGAATCAGTTATGTGCGAATTTCAAGGCCAGGCACGTTCGATGGGACGGCCGGATGTGAGCTCCTTAGCTTCATGGACGCTTTTCGAGGATACCATCAGATTTTCCCAGGATGCGATCATACCAGCACTAATGCACCGGATCCCATCAGAACTCCGAAGTTAAGCGTGCTTGGGCGAGAGTAGTACTAGGATGGGTGACCCCCTGGGAAGTCCTCGTGTTGCATCCCCAACCTAAAAGCCTACGAGCGTCCTATTTTGGACCAACATTGGTGCTTTCATTGAGAGCATCTAGTGTCTCTCACATCACTTTCGTAGGAATCAAGAAAAACAATGTCTTTGAGCAAAATTAGGTGAGATTCATCCAAAATATCCAAAAATTTCATCCCAATTACAAAAAAAAAAACGGCCAAAAATCTGTTCTGAAAAAAGGAAAATCTGGAAATGAGATCTGCAATTACTCATCGAAAGAAGCAACCGGAATCTGGAACCGTGCCAACCACCACCAGCGACATCACTGTAGGGCCGTGCTCCGCCACGAATCTGCGGCTTGGAGAACCCACGGTGGATCTACAGACGCCCCAAGAACCAACTCCGCCACAACGGACCGGCGGTTTTCCGACCAGTCCGCACCAACCCGGTGTTGAGCGTTCAGCGGCCAACGGCGAAGTACAAAGCTTCTTGTGCCGACTCCGCCACCTCTCTCGTAACGACGCCTGCTTCACTTCCGCTAGCTCCACTTCCGCATCAGTTGACGTCGCAACTCAAGGACCAGGAAGGAAACGATGGTTCAAGTGCAGGTGAGTCATGGCCGTGGCCGCCGGGAGTCCCTCTAGCAGAAGGATTCAGAGCAAGGGCGTTGTCGGGCGCACCCTCTCTGCTGCTCTTTGGTTCCAGCCCAAAGTCATCTCCAAGGACCCTGAGTGCATTTACTTGAGCGCAACTCTCAGCCCATAAGTTAGGTGCTACCAAGACAAAGACGGTGGGAGCCTATCATTGGCCCGGTCCATCACATCAACACATTCAATTTTTAGCCCAATTCAAAAAAGCTAAGTATCCAAAAATCCTCTATATTTGATACATTACAAAAAAATTGTAAATTGAAACATTTGAAAAGATATTTTAAGTGGTGTAATTGCTTTAACTCTTGTTGAGCGTGTGTAATTTTAACATTGAAAAACGGACTTATGAAATCCGATCACTCACATACACCGGACGAGCACACACACTCGTACAATGGCCGAGCACACACACTCGCGCCACCGGGTCATGTCATATGGGTGTGGCGAATAATAAGCTCCAATATAAATGTTAATACCTCACACTCGTGACTTCTTACGGGTTCTTGCGTGCTCTTACCTCTTCCTAGTGCATCACACTCCGACCTCGGGGGACGAGTCACCCGTTCAAAAGTCTTTGCTTGCGGGTTCGAACTACTAACCTCGGGCGGCGAGTTAAGCTCTTGTTAGGGGCCTAGAGCCACGCTTTTCCGAGCAATGTTGTCACTTAATTGACGTTCACATTTCTCGAAGAGGTTGATATACTTTAGTTCTCTGGGGTTGGATTATCCGTTCGAGTGAGGAGTCCGCCTCACTTACTCGCGGATTCAATCTTTCTTTCGGAGACTGGGTTGAGGCCTAACTTGGGAACTTGATGTCACTCTTTTCAAGTAGTGAGTCCGACTCACTTACATACTGAGCCGTGGTTCGACACCAGGCCAGATGCTCTATTCTACACTAGTTTCTTTTATGTGTAGGTACAACTGAATGACATGGGGGACTGAGGGTCTTACCATCTTCAAGGAAGCAAATGACGAACCTGACGAGTCTGAGCCCGACGAGAAGAACATTTCTTGGCATTCTATTTGCAGATGGCGACCATTGCAATAAAGGCTGAGGATCTCACCTCTTGCGTCATTTTGGGGGCATCAGATGTATTCTTTTCCCCTTCATTAGGACTTTTTCCCATTGGGGTTTTTCCCGATGAAGGTTTTTAATGAGGCATCTCCCCAACATGGACAAGGGCAGGGATCTTCTAGTCTCGGAGAAGAGCAACTGACTTGGACTACTCCCTCTTAACCGAGTCTACTACTCGACTAAGGGAGTGGGGGACTCGTGATGGAGTAATGGGACTAGGCCCGGAGCCTAATCAGCCCAAGCCCCGAACTTGAACTCGTGGATCCAAGTCCACAACTTGGAGCCTGCCTGCCAGCCCAGCGGGGAGCCTGCCAGTCCGGCCGACCTCCCAGCCAGAAAAAGTAACAGTCAAGCAATTAATGCGCGTTTAAATATGTATTTAATTCTGTATTAATGTTGTAATTAATTAGTCATTATTATCGGTAGCGGTTACGAATTGTATACGCCTATAAAAGGCACTTTGTAATTCAAACTAAAAAAGCGAATTCTACATGCTATTTCTGGCTAACTTTCCATATCCGTACTTTCCTAATTCTTGCTTGAGTGTCGTAAGTAGCTTTCCTAAAAGCCTACGAGCGTCCTATTTTGGACCAACATTGGTGCTTTCATTGAGAGCCTCTATTGTCTCTCACATAACTGGAGTAGGAATCACACAGGAAGATGGCCGGAATCTCGTCTCGACGTGACCATGTCTCAGTCCACACCGAGGAGTCCGCCCGGTCTGGCCGCCAGCGTGCCCTCGACAACCATGCACAGGGCAGGAGGGCGGCACGCCAAGGCGACCTTCGGAACCAATTATCAGGCCACGGCGACCTAAGGGCGACGCTCAACCACACCCAAGGTGAGCGCTCGGTCCGCAGCCGGCGGGGGGGAGGCCGACGTCATGCTCCGCGCATGGACCCGGCTCGACTCAATGCCGGGGTGGAAGCCCTGCAGGAGGCAACTCGGGTTCTGGGGACCTTGGCTCAAAATTTCCAACAGATGGTGTCTGGCGGAAATGTGGATGAGCCTGACCGTCAACAGACGCTAGCGGATGTGGAGGTGTCCTCCAGGCGGCGTGATGAGCGACGCTCTGGATCCAACCAAAACAGGGGGGAAGAAGTCTCCCATCGGCAGGGGGAAGAAGTCTCTCAGCAGCCTAGCCGACCCCATCGGCAGACGGGGAGGGGCGCCCAGCAGGGGCGCCCAACGCAGATGGAAGGAGGCGAGCCCTCTCGCCACTCTCACCGAGCGAGCAGTCGGACTGGCTCCACGGAGAGGCAAAACGTGGGGCCCCGACCTCACGTGCACGGACGACTTGGAGGTGCCGCCGGACATGCCCAGCCCCGCGCTCCCGAGACGTCAAGAAAAACTTCAGCCACATGTTCGGTCTAAAACAGGGGAAGAAGGAATCATTGTCGACCTTTCTAGCGAGGTGGAGGGCCGAGTCAGTCAAGGTTCAGGGCCTTGATGACGGGACCGGGGTGGCCATGCTCACAAACTCTATCCGATCGGGCGAGCTTTACAAAGATTTCGTCAGAAGTCCCCCCACCTCGTACGAGGAGGCGCTCGGCCGTGCCGACCGGCAAGCCGAGGCGGAGGACGCCTTGCAGAGGAAAAGAGATGAGGAAGAAGGTGCAAAAGAAGAAAAGAAGAAAGAAGCCGGTTCGATTGCTGAGAAAGCTGACGGCAAAGCTAGCAACAAAAACAACAAGTTCAGAGGTAACAAAAGTAGAGGCAAGGGCAAGGCGGATGTCCCGAGCGGACCGCTACAACCCGTCAAGCAATTGACCCCACTTGCTCATCCGGTCGGGGCCATCCTCGACTACGCGGAGGAGCAAGGTTTAGTCGACTTTCCGGAGGAGTGTGATGTGGTGACTGCCAAGCGCAACCACGACCAATATTGTCAATTCCATCGCAGAGCAGGGCATGATACAGATGATTGCGTCATTCTCCGGCGGCAAATTGAAGAACTCATCCAGAAAGGGTACCTAGGCCAATTCGTTGGCAAACAAGGAGGCATCCCGCAGAAGAGGAGCCTGACGTGGCAGCGGTCCGACCAAGCTACCACGTCAAAGGAGACACCGCCTGCCAAGAAGCGAGAGCTCGGCGCCTTCTCCGAGGAAGACGATGCCGACCTAGGGAACGGCCCCCGGAAGTACCATCGATGTTCATTCATATTCGGGGGACCCTAGGGAGGCGACACCTCTGGAGAGCGGAAGCAGTGGGCCCGAGCCCTATACGTTGGGGAGATAACCAGGGCTCCCGCCGACAAGAGGGTGAAGAGGGACCCCATCTTCTTCACCGACGCAGATTTGCCACTGATGCCTCCGCCGCACAGGGATGCCTTGGTCATCAAGGTCGAAATCAACAACACGATCGTCCACCGAGTCCTGGTGGACAATGGGAGCTCCGTTAACATCATGTACTATGACACCTTCCAAGGTCTCGGGCTGGACCGAAAAGACTTGATCCCGGTGAGAAACCCACTCTCAGGCTTCACCGGGGACTCCATTGAGTCGGAGGGCAGCATAGTCCTCCCTGTGATGGTGGGCTCCGAGCCCTGCGTATCCCAGTTAGACGTCGAGTTTATCGTCGTACGCCTAACTTGTGCGCATAAGATCATCATGGGAAGGCCGGCCCTGGAAGACCTCAAATGTGTGATATCCCAGGAGCACCTATGCATGAAGTTTCCCACTCCGAATGGCGTCAGAGTCGCCAGGGGAGATCAGCTAATGGCGAGGAGCTGCTATCTGAAAGCTTGCAAACAAATCGGTCAAAAAGACTTGAGGATCCACACTATCAACATCAAAGCCATGAAGTATGAGGAGGGTCAGCTCCGCGCTGAACCCACCTCAGACGTGGAGGAGATCCAGATTGACCCCGAGAGGCCGGAGCGGAAGGTCAAGATCGGGACCGGGCTCCCGGCCGGCTTGAGGGAGAGGATTATCCAGGTACTTGTCCTTTTTAGCGTTGTCTT